CTGAAGAAGGGTGGTGGAGATCGCGGAGGCGTGGTGGAGCTGTTTGAAAGGTGATGGAGCTTGGGGGGGTGTGTGGAGATCATAGAAGGGTGGTGGAGCTTGTAGGGAGGTGGTGGACGTCATGGAGGTGTGGTGGAGCCTGTAGAAGGGTGGTGGAGCTCATAGGATGGTGACAGAGCTCATAGGATGGTGATGGAGCTCATAGGAGGGTGATGGAGCTCCTGGGGGGTGCTGGAGCTCCGAGGCCGTTTCAGGGGGGCTCGGTGCTGATGTCACCCATGTGTGTCCCCCCCCAGGGATGGACCCAGCCCTGGTTGACCCCGAACTTGCCAAACGCCTGCGGAAGAACCGGACGATGGCCTTGACGCGTCTGGATGACGTCATCTCCCACTACGCCCAACTGCAGGATGAGAGCGAGGAGGAAGAACGAGGGCGCAAACGGGCGGCACGACAGCGGGGAACCACCCCCGCCCCGTCCGGGGGTCCCCCCCAACCTGCCGCCACGCCCACCAAGGTGAGGGGGGGAGGTGGTGACACCGGGGGGGGACACGGTGACGATGACGAAGCCACCTTGAGCTCCTTCATGCTGTAGAGCCGCCACGCCGCCGGTGGGAAGAGCCGGGAGGAAGAGGAAGAGGAAGAATCGGAGGAGGAAGAGTCGGAGGAAGAGGAGGAAGAGGAAGAAGAGGAGGAAGATGACGACTCGGAGGGTGATGGCGGCCGGGGCAAAGAAGAGGAGGAGGAGGAGGAGGAGGAGGAGGAGCGTGGCGATGAAGGCAGCGAGGCAGCTGCGGCGCAGGGTGGGTAACGCTGTGATGATGACGATGATGATGATAATGGTGATGACCATGACCATGACGGTGATGATGATCACCATGATGATGATGATGACCATGACCATGATAACGTTGACAATGATGATGATGATGATGACCGTGACCATGATGACAATGACCATGACGATGAGGATGACGATGACAACAATGACAGTGACAACGATGACCATGACGATGATCATGACAACAACCATGACAATGATCGTGATGATGATCATGACGATGGTCATGACGTTGATGATGACGATGACAAGACAATGACAACGAGGACCATGACGATGAGCACGGCGACAACCATGACGATGATCATGATGACAGTCATCATGATGATCATGACGATGATGATGATACCAATAATGACGATGACGAGGACCATGATGGTGACCATGACAACAACCATGATGATGACCATGACAACCATGACGATGACCATGACAACCATGACGATGATCATGACACTGGCCATGACGTTGATGATGACGATGACGATAATGACAATGACAACGAGGACCATGACGATGACCACGACAACAACCATGATGATGACCACGATGATGACCGTGACAATGACCATGACGATGATCGTGATGATGGTCATGACGTTGATGGTGACGATGACGTTGATGATGACGATGACAATGATGACGATGACAATAATGACAATGACAACAAGGACCATGATGATGACCATGATGACAACAACGATGATGACCATGATGACGACCATGACGATGATCATGGCAATGACAAGAACGACCATGACGATGACCCCAACGATGACGACGATGACAATAAACATGACGACGATGACGATGTCACCCCTCCAAAGCCCCCCCACAACGTCTGTC